TATTGCGCTTGGATAAAATGATGCCTGCATCATTTTTTAATTGCAACGCAATTAAACTTCCCGTTATTGCAGAGGCTGAGTCCCCCATCATGTTTGAATGCATTTCCTCCACAAGAAAAGGTGCCTTTTTGGCTAGAGAAAAAGATGGCTAAAATGGTTATTTTTGCTGTCTAAATGCCATTGGAGATTTTTCCTTCATTTCCCGTCTTGGAGACATAATAGGATGTGAGAGAAAATCTCTCCAAAGCGAATTCCCTGCTTAGACAGCTGTCCTCCTTGGAAGATTTCCCCTCATCTCGGCTCCCTTATCTCTGCTGACGGCTGTAAAATCTTGGTTTCCCTGTTACATTCTGAGGACAATATTCACCAGGGTGAATAGAGGGGTGAACCTACACAGCAATAAAATCCTCACCCTCCCTACTCTATACAGAGATAACAAAAGAAAAAAAAAAAAGGAAAAAAAGGCCTACACATACACTTTGTAGCAATACTCAAAATTATCATTCATAGGTAAATAAAAAGGGACAGTTCGGAACAGTATCCAGAGACCGTCCGTGGAAGTTGTCGGCAGTTTGGATTGATCTGGTGCCTAGTAGCTTGCCAACATTTTCTCTGCTACAGGTCATCTGAAGAATATCGAATCAAATCAATACATTTATATAAGAAAACAGGTGTCAGCTGACCCGAAACAATAATTAGTAAAGTGCATGGGCTTGGTGCAAACCAGGTTCACCCAATCCCCCCGCAAAATGGTCAATGACCTCCACCCGTGCCACCACTACACGTCACAAAGTAGCAGGGAGTGCCACAACTGATTCGGGCAAGACGAAGGGTCTCAGTGAAAGTTTTGCATGAACTAGGAGAGTCCAAGCCTCCGTACATCATTAGCAATATTGCTATTCAGAATGAAAAGGTCAGCCAAATAGAACACCTCATATTGCCCATAGAGGCCAATGGTCTTCCCACTGTCAGTGTTCATGGGCCCATTCACACATGTGCATTGTAGTAATGCAAGAAAATATGTTTTAGTGCGCACAACGACAATGCACCTTAATATGCAGATCTACGTGCAGTGTGTTGCAGTGGCATTCATTTTAAATGGCACCACAATGCTCCTAGGCAGCACAGCACAATGCACAGGCATTTTACCACAATACGCTGATATGAGCCATTTA